AGTACAGCAGCCAGAACGATCTTTTCAGTGTCATTTTTCTGCATAAAACCTTTCAGTGACATCTCTTGAATTTAGAATGAATATCCAGACTCCTCACTCGGTCTTTGAGTCAGGTTATTGGGCCACTGCTTCCTTCTCCAGTGGTTTCATGTGTCCCTCTCTCTCTGGTTTTCCTTGATTCCAGTGACTGCACACCGGGCCGGTTTCTTCCTCACAGCTCCTCTACTTGATTTCCTTGCCTGAAATCTTCTTCCCTCGGCTCTTGACACAAACATCATCTCCCCTCAGAGGCTCTCCTGGATTCCTCCAACCTCTAACAGCCCTTCTTCAGCGCAGCTGCTCTCTAACAAAATTTATGGTTTTGTTTCTCCGTGTATGCAATGAAAGCGATCTGGTTTACTTGTTTGTTGTCTGTCTCCTCCCCTACAATGTAAGGCCCTTATGCGCTGCTGTATCCCTAGTGCCTGTGACAGTCTCTGAGATGCTTAATGAATATTTGTTAAATGATTGCATGCTAGGTCATACTAGGAAAGATAAGTTAAATAATATTGGGTTAAAAATAGAAGAATTAGGCAGTACAGTTGAGGAGCAGTTACATTCCCTCCTGGAAATTTAGCATGTAGCAAACTAATAGTTGTTCATGGGAAAAGGATGCGTAAGGGAAGTACTATAAAAAATAGCAATGGTCTTGGGAGCTTTGGGTTTTAATTCTGATCTACCACCCCCTAACTTTGCAGAAGTTGCCTAATCTAACCTTCAGGTTCTTCATCTGTAAAATTGTGATCTAATATCTCCTGACTGTTTTATGTACCTACTTGAGTGTTTGTGTGGGTAAGGTCCTGCCTCTTTCCCTCTTTCCTTCCCCCTCTCTCTTTGAAGACACTTTAGGGGCGCCTGGGTGGCTCAGTCGATTAAGCGTCCGACTTCAGCTCAGGTCATGAGCTCATGGTTCGTGGGTTTGAGCCCCGAATCGGGCTCTGTGCTGACAGCTCAGAGCCAGGAGCCTGCTTCAGATTCTGTGTCTCCCTCTGTCTCTGACCCTCCCCTGCTCACACGGTCTCTTTCTCTCTCTCAGAAATAAATAAAACATTAAAAAAAAATTTTTAAGACACTTTAGTGACAGATACTCTACATTGAGCCCCAGATTTTAAAAGTAGTTCATATCATAACACCAATTTAGCTAATATAAGTAAAATACCTGGTACAGGACAAGGCGCATAGAAAGGGAACAGTGTATGTTAGTCTCTTTCACCTCTCGTGGGAATCTTTAGGTTGGCTTATTCCATATTTAACTCCAGATCTTCCTTGGGATTCTTAAAAGTATATATTTTTGTTATTAGAGTACATTCTTGCTCTTAGACTCTCAACTCTTAAAGAGTGTTTTCCCTATGACACTTATCATAATGATTTATTCATAGCTTGTGTTTTTATAGGTGTTTGTTTAAAATTCAGCATGTATCTATTAAGTACCTGTTATGTACAGTGCATAAAGTTAAGTGTAGAAACAAAGTAAAGGCAACAGAAAGGCATATTCTAGTTGTATACTGGGAAAAAATTGCTGATTTTAAAGAGATGAAGCTATATTTAATAAGATAGATTTGAATTTATAAAAATAAGTTGACACCCTGAAAGGCAATAAAATAAATGTGGAAAGGACAGTAGAAAATAAAAATATTTTACCAACATACGTGATAAAATCTTACTGTGCAAAATAGATGGAAATTTGATAGAAACATATATGGTCTGTAATAGGATTTTGCTTGATAGATAGTTGGAGGAGAGAATTCACACATGTAGAGATATTTATAGAAAACCTTTATGAAGAATATACGGTTTGCCTAGCAATTAAACGTAGCTCAGACAACTGAAAAGTATGCTTATTCAGTAAAAGACTTACTCAAGAAACAATGTGGTACAAAAAAATTAGTACAAAAACATGTAATGTAAAAAGCATTAAAAACAAAAACAACAGAAGTGGATTCTATCCCCCTTTTTCTTCCTCAGGCTTCTTACTTTTGTGCCTCTTCCCCAATTTTTTTTTAAAATTAGACTATCTTTAAGAGCAGTTTTTGGTTCACAGCAAAATTTCATGGAGGGTACAGAAGAGATTTCCCATATACCCCTTGCTTTGCTCAGTCTCCCCCGCTACCAGAGTCGTGTGCCAGAGTGGTACACTTATTACAAAAGGTGAACCCACACTGACCCAGCTTTATGACCCAGAGTCCGTAGTTTATATTAGGACTCCCCCTTAGTGTACAGTGTGTGGGTTTTGACAAATGTACAATGACTGGTATTCACCATTACAGTGTCACATAGAGTAGTTTCATTGCTCTACAGATATTCTGCCAGTTTGTTGCTCTGTCCCTGCTTGGCCCTGACAACCGTGGATCTTTTTAGTATCTCCGTTGTTTGCCTTTTCCAAAATGTTATGCATATAGTCAGAATCATACACTATGTAGCCTCTTTAGATAGATTTTTTTCCACTTAATGTCCATTTAAGATTCTTTCATGTATTCTCATGGCTTGATAGATCAGTTCTTCTTGGTGCTTAATGATATTCCACTGTCTAGACGTAACACAGATTACGTATCCATTCACCTGCTGAAGGACACTTGGCTGCTCCAAGTTTTGGCAATTATGAATAAGCATCCAAGTGAAATTCTGTGGTGACAGGGGCCTCGTCTCAATTTTCTTTGTGTCTCACAGTCATCTACTGAGCATTAGAAAAAAGATCACTAAACTAAATGGAAGTGAAAAATCAAGAAAACATTTGAAAACTATGGCACTGAAGTAAACAGAAAGTCAGACCGTCAGCAAAATGGTGACCTACTGCCCAAACCAGAATGTCTGATTTATTTTGGTACCCATGGCCTCCTGCAGAGCCAGAAGCGCTCCTCGATCCAGGCTCCTGCCCTGGTGTCTCCCATAAGAAGACCTTTTTCTGGTTTTCCTCTGGCCGCATGCCCTCCTCTCCTGTAGAACTTAAAGGAATATTCCCATTCAAGAACCTGCGCCCCTCCCATGTGGCACTCTGAGTCTTTGGGATAACGGAAGTCCTTGCCCAGACACGTTTGATCCTGCTTCTGAGGCCTCTGTGGATCTCTTCCCTTGGACACATGCACACAAAGCCCCTCATAGTGCCTGGAAAGCCAGGAATGGGAGAAGGGAGCGGACCATAGGCTGTGACAGGAAGTGGGTAGACTCCCTGCAACCTTACACACTCCAGAATTCAAGAATTCTAGCTTTGTACCTGGCCTTCCAGGTCACTTTGAATGTGTATTTCTCTAAGCAGGAGAATAGAATGTATTTCCTACAGTAGTTTATTAGCTTGACTTACTGCATTTAGCTATTTAAACACATGGTATCTGAGCCTCCATTTACATTCTTGCCATGGACCCCACAAATAGCGGGGGCAGCCCCACTCACAGCAAAACCTAAAACCATATGGCCTTTGAGAGCCTACAGAATCTGCTCCTGCCCCTGCCCTGCTCTGCTCCAGCTGTACTAGCTTCCTCACTGTTCCAGAACAGTCCAGGTACACTCCCACCCCTGGTCTTTGCATCCCCGCCGCTGCTGCTTGGAATGCTCTTCTAGGCATCCACATGACCTCTTCCCTCACACCCTTCAGCCTTCAGGTCTTCTCCCCATCATTAGCAGTGAGACCTTGCTGGGCTAATCTTTTCTAAAATTTTACTATCCTCACAAACGTTGATTGTTTCCTTCCCAGCTTTACTTACATCCCTTAACATCCATCACTATAAAAAGTTAAAAGTAGGACGCCTGGGTGGCACAGTTGGGTAAGCATCCAAATCCAATTCAGGTCATGATCTCATGGTTCGTGGGTTCGAGCCCCGTGTTAGGCTCTGTGCTGACAGCTCAGAGCATGGAGCCTGCTTTGGATTCTGTGTTTCCCTGTGTCTCTGCCCCTTCCGTGCTCATGCTCTCTCTTTCTCTCAAAAGTAAATACACATTTAAAAAAATAAAGAGAAGTTGAAGTAATAAGAAACTAAAAAGCACCCTGCCCTAAAAATCTTTCTTTTAACCCTCATTAGATATAAAATGTTTTTGCATTAAAAATTCACAATTTTAGTTTTTATGTCTTAAAGTCCTTTATGAAATCACTGTAAAGAATCACGTCAATTTCCGAGTCTAGTTATTTAAAACTGCAGTCCCCCTACCTGCCCTTAGTTTTAAGGGTAACCATTTCCAGCTCTCTCAAGTCATTCTTTCGGTATTTCCCACCATATCTACCATAACATAGTCATACTGCTACTTCCTATCTTTGCAGCTTTAAGCATTACCAATTTACTTTCTCGCGTAGAGGATGAGAAGGAAGGGCTCCCTGTGCCTGCGCACACATGTATCCAGCTCTCCCTCTTCCAGTTGTTTGTTTGTGACTTGGGCTAGATCAAGATTCAGTGCTTTTAAAACTGAAAACGCCAGTCACCGCTGAACCATATCATATCCTATGATCACGTTTCCTAGAACATTTTGTTTTTCCTGGAATTAAAAGTTGTCATGATTTTGATCTGCTTAATCTGATAAGTTATTAGCATCAGTGCTTCCTCAGACTGTCCTAGTTATATGTATCTTTCAATATGTTCATACTTCTATATCCTCATTTTCTTTTTCTTAAAAGTGTCTCTGAGTCTTCAGATCTTTTTAAATATGGTGGGTGTTCTCACAGTCAGCTCTAGTGTGACTGAAATCATAGAGATACCTCTTGTTTATTCCCAGTAGGACGTCATACAGTCATTACAGATAGTTTTTTTTTTCAAATATATTGCTATGTGAATAAATAATGAAAATGTAACTATTTACCCTGAATTTCTCTATGATTCTCTTTCATATGTTGTAGTTAAGATACTTTTTATTCTAAAAATATAGAATGTATTCTTATATTTCATTGTTTTGCATACAGCATAATAGTAATTACTGGAATAATTTTAATAAATAAATATATATATACCCACATATTGTATTGTATTCTTTATTTATAGGCCCTTAAAATTAGAGAGATCTGTAATTGCCCACCACTTTCTGGACCAGACCCTCGATTACTGTTCAAACTCAGCATGAAGCATTTTCTTGAAGAATCAGAAAAAGAAGACCTAAATATCACTGCTAAGAAACAGAAAATGGATACTCCTACCATTCAAAATCAGAAGCAAATACCCTTAACATATATAGTTGAGAAAAGAACTGGCAGTTGAATTAAAATTTATGAGACACGGGATATATGAAGAATGCAGCAATCCTTATTTTTATGTTCCTTTTTAAAAAATGATGTTTGAAATTAAAAAAATGTATATTCAGGGTCAAATCATGTTTATTACAGGTATTGTCTAAATTCTTCTACAAGGTATTTTCATGAAATATTGATGTATTTTAATGTTTTAAAATATCTTCAGTGAGGAAAATGTCACAGAATAAATTTATATTACATTTTACTTGGTCTCGTACTTGCTTCTGTTTTGGAGGCAGACCTCTAGTGGATGAGAAGTCAGAATGTGCGAGTAATTCTTGTAGAGAGACTTCCACCTGAGCCTAAACTGGGGCTCAAAGACCTGGTGGTTATGGTGAACTGGGAAACTGACAATCAGCCTGAAGCATCTGTTTACAAAAGTTGATTTGCACTTGGATAGGATTATGTGGAACGGGGGACCTTGGGACAGAGAGTTTACTGGTCTTCTCTTAGGGACTGTGAGGGGGAAAGGGGCTGTTTTCATAGGAAGCAAAAGGAGTGCTGTTTGTGGTCCAAGTGGCAACACGAGAAACACGACTGGGAGAGAGGCTCATTTCCTTGCAGACACAGTGTGCTGCTGATGGTTGAAGTCCTAACAGAAACTTGTGTCATCTTGGCTCCTTCACGACTTTACGATTTGGGAGTCTCGGGGATTTTCAGAGAAGGCACCCACGCTGTTCTAACCAAGGGTGGTGCCTGGGGGTGGGGCGGGAGAAGGTGCCCCCTGCAAGTCCCCCTCCCTGGGCAGCAGACATCAATGAAGGGTTGGAGGAAGTGGGAGAAGAGACGCAAGGTACAGCCCTGCTGGCACTCAGAAATTACTGTATTCTATAAGCCTGGAAATAGGTTTTTAAAGTGTATTATTATGCATATAAAATTATTTGTACTCCCAAACTGGTGAAGTCTAGTCCTGTTGAACTTCTCTTCCTCGTAGGGACATTTTCCTGGAGACACATTATATGAAATAGTTTCTTAGAGAATTGGAGGGGAAATAAATGATCTTTTATTGAGTGTCTACTATGAGCTGGGCCCATTTATTCCAAACCGCCATGAAGGAGGTTGTAGTAGGCTCATTTTACAGTGAGAAGCAGGCGTGGAGAGGTTACGTGGTATACCCAGGGGCTCCCCCCTAGAAAGGACAGACCTACATCTGTCTGGCTGCAGATCTGTCCCTCTCCACAGCTCTCAGGCACCTAAAACTAAGCCACCACGGAGCAAATGCCACCCTCAGTTGCATCTTAGTGTCCTCATATATGGCTTCAGTACAGGTGAAAAGCTCCTAATTATGCAGTCAGGATCACCTGCAGGATGACTTTCCAGGCACTCCTCCTCAGCTCTGTCCATCAAGTACATGAAGACTGGGGGGAGGCAGGTTAGGACAGGGAAGCCCCTCCCCCCACCCCGTCCCCCACCCCCTGCCTGTGAAAGCCCATGACTTGTGTTTGGTATGTGTCCTGACACAACTCCTTAGACGAAATGTGTGCGTAGTTATGAGGAGAATTTCAGGGGTTCCTCACATCTTCCAGGGCTTACTACAACTGGCTGGTAAGGACTTTCTCGCTCTGCACGCAAGAGAACACCTGTAAGGAGGAGGTTCCGATGAACTGTTCCAGTCATTGCAGTCCTGTCTGAGGCACTCTACAACGTGTAAAGACGTTGGGAGAATGTCACCTAGAGGTAAACAGTAAGACACACCGTCAGGTTTCCCTGTAGATTTCCTGAGAAAATAGTGTAGTGGAGGCCCTAGTCTATTTTTCCTTCCATCCCATTATCACATCTAATTGTACTATTCAGACTCAGACTTCCTAGGAAACATACACAAGGTGACGTGTCAGAAAGAACAGAGAAAATATGAAGAGAACTCCTTTACAGTGCATGTGAAAAAAGACATTGTTTTTAAACCCATGGGATCAACATGGAAATGTTCCATTTCAGCCCAGGGTTTTAGGAGAAATTAAATAGTTGGATGTAATAGGTATACATAGGCTCTAAGTTGTATATGGAGAAGACCGCTCCAAGTTCTGCATTCAGTTGCATACCATACTGCCAGGGCTTGTCCTGTGCTTCTAGGACTTAGATGTCATTGGCTAGTTGCTCAGTTGTTAGGAGCTTGATGTCAATAAATAAATACAAGGCACAAATTTATTCTAATCTCTCCTATAATCCAGATCGTTGTAAGAATGTCCTCTAAAACTAAAAGAGGGTATGTGTATGTATTGCAGTGTCTCTAGTGCCTAATATTTTGACATAGGTGCCAATTGGTATTTTACTGATAATGTACACTTCATGTCATCAGGTCAAAGGATAATAAAACATAAAAAAGGAGGAACACTTAAATGTTATGAAATCTCTGGCTCTTTATAGCCATGGGACCCTGGGCAAGTCACTTCAGGTCTCTAACCCTCATTTTTGTTTTAATTTGTAAAATGGGTATAAGAAGTCCTACCTTGTAGGGTGCCTGAGTGGCACAGTCAGTTAAGTGTCCGACTTCGGCTTAGGTCATGATTCCATGGTTCATGGGTTCAAGCCCCTTGTCAGGCTCTGTAGAGCCTGGAGCCTGCTTCGTATTCTGTGTCTCCCTCCCTCTCTGCCCCTGCCCTCCTCACGCTTTCTCTCTCTCTCTCTCTCTCAAAAATAAATTAACACTTAAAAATTTTTATGTATATAAAAAAAGAAATTCTACCTTGTAGGTTGACATGATAATTAAGGATATACTGAAAGCATTTAGCATAATGTGTAGAACTCCAAACATAATACAAAATAGCCACAATTTATTGAAGGCTCACTTTATACCAAGCGCCATGCTAAGCATTCTTCAAGCACTGTTGAACCCCATTGCAGCCCTGTGTGTGATAGGTATTATTTTACCCACCATTATCGATCAGGAAACTGAGGTTGAGAGGGTTAATGAAACTTGCTCAGTGTTACATGGTGTATTTCTTAAGATTATTTTACTAGCAAGAACAGAAAGAAAAAAAACACCTCGGGAAAATTTATTGCCTCACCTAACAAAAAAGCCCAGAAGTACACTAGCTTTGGACATGATTCAGTCCAGGGGATCGTGATACCATCAGAGCAGTGGCGTTTTCTCTGCAATTTTTCTCAGCTCTGGCTTCATTCTTCCCTGCTGATGTCAAGATGACTGCCAGCAGGTACCAAGGTTCCATGCTTCATTCACATCCCGGAAGGGTGGCTCACCTTGCAACTATTGAAACAAAGCCTTCAATGCCAACTGCAACCTCTGAAGAGCAACCCAGAAACAGTAACCACCACAGGGGATGGGATGATGCTGACAGGCTGGAGCTGAGGATGGTTACAGGCGGCACCCTACAAACAGTGGCTCGCATATAACCACAGCGCCTAGTCAGTAAATGGAATAAAAACCTGTTACATTTCTCCTCCTTCAGCAGGCAAAGAAACAAGACACTTCTTTGTAGATTTGGTCCAGAAGTGATATTTAATCTGAGCAAAAACAGCGTTGCAAAAGCTTTGTGTTTCTGTTGATAGTAAATTTGCGTTAGTGTATTTGCTTTATCATTTATGAATTTTCCATTGCTCCTATCCTCACAACCAGCCCATGTGATGGGAAGGACAAGTGGTGTTTTGTACTTAATAAGGAAGAAGATGAAAGCTTGGAGGAGTGAGGCGAGTTACCCAAGGATGCACTTGAAGATAACATCTGAACTGGAACTAGAAGAAAAGGGTTCTTGAGCTGAAATCTGGTGCTCTTTCAGCAATAGCACACTCTCTGCAGAGGGAGGTATTAACTACATTTTTTATCTGGAAACCAAAGCTCAAAGATATTAAGCAACTGGGTGCCCAGCACTTACTCTGCTCATAATGGCAGAACTGAGATTCAAACCCACATCTTCTGACTCCAAAGTCTGTGCTCTCTATCTAGTTACTGCCACTCCAGGTGGCAAATCTCATAAAGGAAGTGGTGATGAAGAGTGTTCGTTTCCTTCACCCCTCACTTGGGAACCCTCCTTTCTCTTAAACACACTCATTTTAATACTCTGTGACAGATGGTAAAAATATTTACTTTAAGTATATTCATATACATGAGAGATAAAATTCTTCTTATGATGTGGTTTTCTTTTTGTTGCTGTTTGTTTATTTTGAGAGAGAGAGAGCTGGGGGAGGGACAGAGAGGGAGAGAGAGAATCCCAAGCAAGATCTGCACCACCAGCAGAGCCTGACGTGGGGCCCAAACTCATGAACCATGAGATCATGACCTGAGCCCAAATCAAGTGCCAGATGCTTAACTGACTGAGCCACCCAGGTGTCCCTTACGCTGTGTTTTTATTCAGGCCCAGAGAGTTCCTTCATCTGTGTGAGAACTATCTCTCACTTCATTACTGGAAAGAACCCTATCGGTATCTACCCCTTTACACCATCCCCTAACTTCTGTCCCAGAACCAAAGCCTTCAGAGGCAGGCCAGTGACTCCCAGCCTTTCAATCATCAAGGACCCCTTTTATATGACCTGACTGTGTGCATGGACTTTTACAGCACAGAGGTCTCCCTGTCTTGAAGGAGCAGAGTATAGACTCATGACTAGGGTTTCTTGCTGTGCTGGCTGTTTAGGAGTTGAGTTAGTTGAGCATGGGACATAAGTCACGGTGTGGTACAGCTTCCACATTGCAGAATTTCTGTGATATCATTATGGGATCTCTGATATTAACAGAATTCCAGCCAAAAGAAAAATGTGTGGTTTTAATTAGTTTGGGTGGTCGAATTATGTGAGAGAAAATCTAAAATTTTTAGTTAGGCTCCTTGAAATACTAAGCATACCTGGAAGGTTCCCAATACCACCTTTGTGGATCATAAGGGTCCTTGGACCTGATCCTGGACAACACAGGTCTGAAGTCAGATTGCTGTCTTTTTCTCTTCAGAATATAAAAGGAAGTAAAATTAACATGTATTTATTTTGACCAATATATTTTTATAGGTTAGAGATGATGGATGGTCTACTTAAGGGTTCTGTTGTTCTGTATTTAAAGACTTTTTTTAAAGTAATTATTGTTTTTGTACACAAACAAGTTGAATTTGATTTTTTTCCTACAACTATTCCTCTGATGTTATGGTACCCTTGAGAGAATCGAGGGCAATATGGCTGGTCTTATTTTGGGGGGACTAACATGGGACAGTAACATCTGCCCTGATTACTTCCCAGGATTATTATGGGTTTTGAATGCAGTTAACA